CCCCCGCAGCCCCTCATGTCCCCCCTGGACCCCTCCCCTGCTGCTCCCGATGCCAGCCCCCCACCCCCCAGTCTGCACTCCTCCTTGGGGTTCCACCTCATCTGTGCCAGGTCTCTGGCTCCCCGTTAGCTGTGATGGTCCCAGAGGTGTTGCTTAAAGTCTGCTCCAACAGGGGAGCCCTGGATCTGGCCCAGGGGTGTGTGGGCCATGGGTCAGCAAGTGACAGACAGCATTCAGGGTCATGGTCACACCAGGTCCTCAGTAACCAGGAGCCAGTGCAGGGTGGGACCTGCCACCATCTCAGTCCGTCACTGCCTGCTCCCGGGAGTACCCAGCACGGTGGTGATGAAGAAGCAGAAGCTCAGTAGCTCCCAGTCCTGGGGGCTGCAAGGTCCGAGGTCCTCACAAAGTGGCCGAAGGCAGAGCTCCCAGCAGGGCAGAGCTGGGCCTGCGTCTACATGGCCTCTGCCCACCTCACCCCTCCTGTACCAGGCAGAATTCCCTAGGGGAGTCCCGGGGCCCCACTGCATGACTTTATCACACCCAAGGTGGCCCCCAGACACCATGATGGTATTAAATTTTTCACTTAGCAGCCCTGTGAAACAATGAAGCCCAGACACATGAATTTCTGGAGGTCGTCTAACCATCACTCGCTAAGGCCAAATTGCAGGGGATGAATCTTTGGGAGACAAACCACAACATCCCCTTGGTGGAGTACCTGTGGGTACCTGTGACCGTGCTGGGCCCACGGAAAGGAACACAGGCTTCTTGCCAATATCAAGCACCAGCTTGTCAGCAAAATGAGTGAGTCACCATGAAAGTGGATTCTCCAGCCCCGTCCGGCCTTCAGATGATGCAGCCCAAGCCAACGTCATTTTTTAAATTTGCTGCAGGTATGTGTGTTCACCAGAGAGAGAGAGTAAGAGAGCACCCACATGAGAAGCAGTCACACTGGAATCCCGTCTCCTCCATTTCTCCTTTCACGACTTGGGACACACACACACACACACACACACACACACACACACACATGCCTGGCGTGTTTTTCAAGCCACTGGGTACCGGACTCACACCA